GAATGAATTTGCTCTTTAAACATTTTGTCCGAGATAATATCTGTTTGTTGTTGTCTGGCTTTGTGTAGACTCCTTGTTTTGGATAATAACACAGTGATCTTCAATCAGAGAGTAAACAGTGACACAAAGCACTTTACGAGAGCGCATAACAGTGGCCGTGCGTGTCGATGTTGCAGGCTGCAGGCCCACCAGAAGGAGTGGTTGGCGTCGCAGGCGGAGCTGCTGGCTCAGGGCTCGGTGCTGAGGGCAGAGCTGAACGCCTCCCAGCTGGAGAGGACTCGGCTGGAGGGCGAGCTCAGTGCCCTGAAGGAAACACACCAAAGCCTGGACCTCAGCAACGCTCGGCTTACCAGCCAGTATCAGGTATGAGCTGATACACAGAAATGCATCCACACACACACACAAACACCAACACACAGCAGATACCGGTGCCCTCTATGCAAAATAGGATTAAGTGCTTCACATTTGAGACATTACCCTCTTGAAATAAAAGAAAATGCATCTGAACCATCAATGGGCAATTAAACAACATTTATTATGAATTCACTGCAAGTTTTAGAGAGCATTTTACATAGTTCAAGTCTGGGTTGAGCATGTCTCATATCATCAGTGGGAAACAATGGCTGACTGATTTCTAATACATGATACAAAGCCAATTTCAGCTTGACATATCAGACAAAAGTGATACATTGGTCCAAACAGTAAATGAATACCAAGTAGCTAATAAAAAGCAGGGGCATCTTTTGCCTTCTAAACAGCTTTATCCTTCTGCGCAGTGCTGTCAAGCCATCACTGAGTATTGTTAAAATAGTTTGAGGAGAGCAGACAGCTGAAAAAAAAGGGAACCTCATGAAAAACTACTTCATCTAAGTATAATGTTGGCTGTTAAAGTTTCTGCTCAAAAATGGAGGACAACTCCTGAATCTACTTAAATGATTTATTGACGAGTTCAAGAAACTGCAAACAGAACGTCAATTGAGGGGCCAAGTGGGGGGTCTGTGGGAGGGAGAGGCAGCAGGCAGGGTATTGCAAACATAAGTAAATGTAGACAGGGTCAGTGGTGGTGCACAGGAGGAGATCTTGCTGAAGCAGAGGGGAAAAAAAACACGGGTCATCCCAAATGGAAAAAAACACACTTGAAATCTTCAGGAGACTACATCGAGTAAACACTAGAGAGCTTGAACAATAATACCACTCAGCCAGCAGAACGATCTGGCGCGACTGGTTGGATAGAGAGGGGTTTAAATGCAGAAGGAGAGTGATTGATGATTGAGCCAGGTGAGACCAGTCGCAGCCACACCTCTGCAGACAATGCAATGCTGAGAGGTAGGCAGAAAGTAAGAGGAGAGAGAGCCAAATGATGAGGAAAATGATGAGGCAGGTCGGCGCTGGAGGTGAAAGGGACCACAAATAATCAGATAAGCTTAGCTTAGCATGAAGGTTGCATACAAGTCAACAGCTACAAAATCCACATACCAGTAAATTAATGGTTCAGTGGCTTATATTGCTTTTGGTGTGAGTTATTGGGAAGTAATGGGCAGCTAACAGTGAAGTAACTCCACCCAGCCAACAAAGATTAAAGATTAGAACATACAATGAATAAAAAGCAATAATGTGTTAATGAGTTTCAGACTAAATGTTGGGAGGTGTTTCCTCTTTAAATTGAATCATTTTCATGACCGATCGCTCCGACAGTTCAAGTGCTAAGATGCTCGTGGCTGGTGGCCCCAGGATACAGTAGATTCCCCTATATAAATATGTAATAACAATCAAGCCAAATTTGCTGCCTGCTGTGGACAAAAACACTGAATATGCTGTCAGTGTTTGATAATAACTCGTCTAACTATTAGAGATTTTGATTCCATTATCAATACAACTTATCGATTTGATACCTTATTGATTCTCATTGGTTCTGCTCTGAGATTAACCGTTAAACAGCATTAAAGACATTGAATGTGCGCAAATTAATTGCATACTGTGTCATGAAATGTTTGTTTATGTTGGGGGTATTTACCTTCTTTATTGTGATCTGTGTTGGGGTCATTACGCATGCGCTTTACACACAGATGTGTATGTACTGTATGTGTACATCTGTGTATTACACATATAATGTATTACACAGAACACTTTTCTTAAAAGTAATGCAGTGTGTTACTTAAATATTCTCAAGAGAAAGTCTTTTACTACACTACTCTACATTAATTTTGCATATTTTTTTATAAAATGACCTGAAATGCATTGTCTCATAATTACCAGTTAACAATATAAACCTGAAGCAAAAGCCCCAAACACCAACACAAATCCCTATCCTAATGAGGACAGACATACGGTCTTTCTCATAGTATTTAGGTATTAACACAAAGCCGACAGCACAAAACAAAGATGAAAACCAGCGCAAAGATGCTTTAAAGCGATTGCCACAGTGATTCTACTGTAGAAACATGAACAGGTAGAAATGGATGCTGGAGCCTGACTGTTGAACTTCAGGGTCTGGCTGCTGGGTGGGGTCAACATTCAATCAGCTTTAACATCACTCTGGGTTCTTGGCTAGCTTAGCGTTAGCATGCTGTCTGTGCAGGTGTTTGCAAAGAGCTGAAGTTGTGTTAGCACTATAGTGCAGTTTTTTCTGTCCTGGATACAGTTTCCACTTTACCATCGCACTCTTGTCCTTGTGTGCAATAAAAATAAAAGTAATTTCTCTAACCACATGAACTGAAATCAGCTGACTGTAGCACAAGTTCAAATGTAACCTACAGGCAAGCAGACTAACAATTACAAGGAACTGAACTACTGGAACCAGTTCTCTGCAAGAATTTCAATTTCAATCTTACAAGGTTGCAGGTTGCTATATTTCATTAGACTTCACTGATTACAGAGTATATCCCACGTGAGTATTTAGGCTAATGCATTCATTCACTTTTAAAAAAGCCATCTTGATTTGTGGATGACAGCTCATGTGGCTGAAGAGAATAAAAGCTCGCTACAGAGTAATTTGACTTCATGTCAGGGCTAACTGTTTAAGCAATTAATGAAGTCAACGCTGCTTTTCCCCTTGCATAAATGCCCGCAAAGCTCCATCTTCTTTAGGCAATCCTACAGGCTCTGTAGGATTCTGATGGAGCTTCAGTGAACAGTAAATGGATGAACAGATACACCTCTCTGGTCCTGTGTCATGGTGGATTTTTTTTCCTTTTTCTCAAGGACATGACTTTCAGATGTAGGTACGTTTATTTCAGGTCTGACATGTCTTCTTTTGTCCTCCACTTGTCCATTTTCCTCAAATTATTTAAGGACTCAGTGCACACAACGTGAGACGTGCCTCGTTTTGAGCTAACAGCTCTTTGGGAATCACCTTGTTGGTGCAAAAATGCTATTTTGTGCCTGTCAGTGTGTGTTATCTTTGGCATTTTTCATAGATTCAACTAAAGAAATGGGAACAAATTATGTGCTTTTTGCAGCATGCCGCTAGTAACAAATTGCCTAAAATTACAATCCGCAATTGGTTCTTCGTTAAGTTGTCTGTTATATATGGACACAAAACTGCTTGGTGCCTTTGTTATGTTTGAATGATGATGGTTAGAGTTAAGTGGGTCTACAAAAAAAACAACAAAAACAAAAAACAGTCCTCTGAAAATGATCAAGGACTCGATTAAAACTAAGTGAAAAACACACCTTCAGAAAGCCTAAAGAAGTATTGCTCAAGACCACTTTAAAAAAATTACAAGAAATTTTGGCTCCTTGCAAAGAAAATATAAAGAAACTGAGGCGTGACTCAAGAGTTTTGCACGGTGCAGTACTGTAAAGAGGGTTTTTTGAGGCTTTGAGGTTTTGAAGATTGTTTGTGTGAGTGAAAGCGAGGTTCCTATCATAAATGACAAATGAATGCATTAACACACACAAATGACACTCTTTATATAATCATTGTGAGGATTATATCTTACTTACATGTCATTATCTACTCAGCGCCTGTTCTGCCCCCCACAGTAGGTTGATAGGTTTGTATGCTGGCATGCAGAAGTCCAGTTTTCTCATTACGCTATAATATGGAGAGAAAAGTTAACAAAGTTCATCCTGGAGTCTGTGGACCCACAATTAACTTGTTGCAGCAGCTGTGCTAACTAATGGGCCTTGACTGAACAGGACTGGGGTTATGAGAACAAAATAATTGGAAACAGATTCACAAATAGGAAATTATAA